CGAAGAGGACTCCCTCTTGAGATGGTTCGTCGAATTTGATGACGCCATAAGGGCGCGTCGCATCGACGACGGGGAAATGCAAGTTGCATTTGCCCACTCAAATCTGGCAGGACGTGCCAAGACTTGGGCACTGGGGCTCAAGTTGCACGACCCATATGCGTTTGGGTCGTTGGAAGTCTTCAAGTCGCGGCTCAGACAAACGTTTGAACCGCCTAGAGCTGAGTTCAGAGCTCGGACTGAACTCTTGAAGCTCAAACAGGGTAAGCGTGATGTGCACGCTTACGCTCAACATATAAGACATCTCACGAGTTGTATAAGTTCCAATCCGGTGGATGAACACACGTTGGTTTCGGTGTTCATGCAGGGTCTTGCGGATGGTCCCGTCAAGATTCACCTGTTCCGGCTTGAACTAGATTCACTAGAACAAGCCATTTCCATTGCGGAGCAGGAAGACTTCAGTCTGAGACAGGCTCGCGCCAGCTCGACATCACATCGTCAACCGAGACGATATGACAACGGAGGTCCAGAGCCGATGGAACTCTGTTACGTAGAGAGCGAGAAGGCTCGCTCTACAGGCTACAAGAAGTTGCAGAGATGCAACAGATGTCAAAAGACAGGACACTACGCTTACGAGTGTAGTGCCCCTCGTCCAGTGTCTCGCGACACTGGGCGTAGTGACCGTCCACCCATGAGAAAGGGGAAGGGACGCGGGTCCGCTGTTGGTGCAAAGACGCAACAACGGGATGGACCGTAAAAAACGGACAGGATCAGTAGGTGCGGAGCACCCTACTGATCCAGCAACGTCAAGAGAATTTGTAGGCCTCTTGATGAAGGTTGCTCCCAACACACAGACGTTGTGCGTTGCTGCTCTAGGTAATGAGGTCTCACTCATTACCTTGAAACTCGAAGTGACGAATAAGTTGTCCCTTCGAGCTCTAGTCGATTGTGGGGCGTCCAACAATTTTGTGCGACGCCAATCGCTAGAAGATGGTCACTTTAAATTCAGTGAATGTGACACATCTCCTACGAGGATGACGGTACGTCTTGCGACAGGCGCATCCGTAACCGTCATGAAGCGTATAGTGAAGATCCACTATACGCTAGAAGATACCCAATATGACGATGACTTTATCGTATTGGATTTGGATGACAAATTTGATGTCATCCTTGGAATACCGTGGCTCAGAAGGTACGAACCACGAGTAAACTGGCAACATCGAACAGTAACGATGCCTGCCGCTTGTTCATCAGATGGCCATCTGATGAACGTTTTGGAGCGTCCACAAGCGTGTGGATGTACTACGAGTGAGTGCGATGGCATCACTTGTGGTACGGTCGTTAGTACGACTGCACAAAACCTTAGTGTACCAAACGGTTACACTTCGGAGCAAAGTTCCGGCGGCTGTGAGGAAACACAGGCTGCGCCGAAGTTCCACCACTCGAATGAGTCGGGTGGACTGGGACAAAGATGTATCCCTAGCGGGAACATCTAGAAGAGAAACAATCGTTCGCTCAGGTTAAGCGAAACGATAATCCTAGATCGACTGGAGAGTCTTTCGTAGAGGATCTCGCTGTGGTTGCGCAACCTCAGCTAGAGGAAGTAAAGGGAATAAGTCCCAAGATTACAAATACGGCGGAAATAAGTTCCCCGAAACCCGCGGGAATAAGTCCCCGGGAAGCCGAAGGAATAAGTCCTTCGAAGCCTGAGGGAATAAGTCCCCAGGAAATGACAGAGACATTGAATGTCATCGTCAATAACGGATCAAGTGTAGGCGCTTATACACTTGATCTGATTGCGCCTCCGAAGTTAACTTCGGAGATCACTCAGTTGCCAACTCTCGAACATAAAAGATTCTTGCGTGATCTGCGTAGTGGCAAAGTCAAGCAGATCTGCATACTCGTCGCTGAAGACGAGTATGTAACCGACATAATGTCAGCAACAGTGTTTACTGAGAACGAGAGAGTTCTCAGTAGTTCATCTATGGACGAGAGCGTCCTCGATGAAAAGACACGAATTGAGCGATATGACTCCCAATCATGGGAATCGCTCAAGACAAATCCTCTCTATGAAGATTTGGTTGAATTCAAGGATGTATTCCCTGAAACTGTTCCGTGCGAATTACCGAAGGATAAAGGTATTCGACACGAGGTCGAGCTTAAACCAGGCTCGAAGTACTGTGTCATGAAGCAGTGGCCACTGCCTAGTGAACAAGTACTTGCGATCGACAAGTTCTTTGCCGATCGTTTAGCAGCGGGCCATGTGAGGGAATCAACTTCCCCACATAGCTCTCCGACCTTCTGTGTGCGAAAAGCAACAGGAGGGTGGCGGATAGTGCACGCGTTCAACAAATTGAACGCTGCAACGGTACCGGCTCAGACGCCAATACCGAGGAAGGACGTAATCATTGATTGTATGTCAAAGAGTACCATCTTTTCGTCCATGGATTTGATGTCTTCTATCAAATCCTTATGCGGGAACGGGATATACCCTATACCGCAGTTAGCACGCCTAGCGGCATGCTCTGGGAATGGCTAGTAATGCCACAAGGGCTCAGTAATGCCCCTGCCACGTTCAACAGGTGTGTATCACATCTGTTGAGGCCATTACGAGAATTCGCGCCGAGTTATTTCGATGACGTATTCATCCATAGTCGAGCTATGGATGGAAAGTCGGACGTTGAGGTTCACAAGTACCACGTCCGACAAGTTCTTACAATCATGCGAAAGCATCAATTGTATGCAAACCTCAAGAAGTGTATATTTGCAGCAAGCGAAATACCACTTCTTGGGTGCATCGTTGGTAAGAACGGTGTACGTCCTGATCCCGAAAAGATCAAGGCGATCACCGACTGGCCCGTGCCGGTCGATGTCAAAGGTCTTCGAAAATTCCTTGGGCTAGCGGCGTATTTGCATAAGTATTCACGCAATTACGCCGAGATGACTGTACACCTCTCTCGTTTGTTGAAAAAGAACGAGAGGTGGTTATGGAACGCTGAATGTCAACGCTCCTTTGAGGGTATCAAGCAGAGCTTGATACAATCCCCAGTCCTAGCAATAGCCGATCAGGACAGGCCATTTCATGTGGTCTGTGATGCCAGCGATTTCGCAATCGGCTGTGAATTAATGCAGTACGACCTAGAAGGCGTTGAACGCGTCGTCTGCTATCAGTCGCGTCAGCTGCAACCAGCTGAGCGGAACTATCCAGTGCATGACAAGGAACTCCTTGCCATGAAGTATGCACTCGCGAAGTTCAGAGTCTATCTCTTAGGAGATAGACCTTCATTGTTTACACTGACCATGCGTCATGACGCACGGCAGTGAACAGCCCGCACCTTTCACAACGAATGGCGCGGTGGTTGTCATTCTTTGCAGAATACAACTTTACGGTCGAGTACAAACCAGGACGACTTAATGTCGTCGCTGATGCACTCTCACGTCGTCCCGACTTTGAAACAGTCGCGAAACCCAACAGTGAGACAGTCACTGTTGCGGTTATGACGTCCTCAGTTCCATCTACAACGTTGTATGATGATGTGAGGCGGGCATACGCCCAAGATGGTGAGATAGTGAAGTTGTTGTCACATCTCTCCCAACCATCCCGAGAATCGTTGAAACGATTGTCGTCTGCGTATCGATCTGCATCAGACCGATACACTACTCGTAACGGTTTACTGTACTATACAGCCGTTTCTGGTGACACACCACGTGTTGTCATTCCAGATGATACTGATCTGCGTTTGCGGATCATGTTCGAGTATCACGATGCTCCTATAGGAGGACATCGTGGCCGGAGAAAACATATCTCACGGTAAGTCGAGACTTTTACTGGCCCCGCCAGTATCAGTTTGTGCGAAAGTATGTTCGCGCATGCGAAGTCTGCCAACGAGTGAAGTCAAGTCCTTCACTGCGTGCACCTTTACAGCCTCTACCGGTTCCGGCTGAGTGCTGGGAATCCATCTCAATGGATTTCGTCTTCGGGTTACCCAAAGACGCACGCGGGAATACGGGTATTCTCGTATTTGTTGACAGATTCAGCAAAATGGTACACCTTGTGGCTGTACCAGAGACAATCACGGCAAGTGGCTGTGCTTGTGTCTTTATTGACACCATCTTCCGACTTCATGGGTTGCCCCGTGAACTCGTATCAGACAGAGATCCACGATTCACTGCTGATTTCTGGCGTTCCGTGTTCAAATCACTCGGAACGCGCTTGAAGATGTCAACATCTGATCATCCAGAGTCAGATGGTCAGACGGAACGTGCCAATCGTGTCCTTGAAGAGATACTTCGAGGATACGTACACTCCTTTAAGAGTTGGAGTGAGTTTTTGCCGATGGTAGAGTTTGCCATCAACAACTCGGTGCATGCGTCCACGACACATACACCGTTTTACGTGAATGGCTTGCGCCATCCGCGTGTACCCACCTTACTAGAGTGTAACTCTGGTTTAAGGGGGGAGGGACTCGCGCGAGCAAAAACCGATTTGGTTCACGCTCATCACGCTCTGACGAAGAAGTCATTGCGTTTGATGCCAATATCGATAACATCGATATCGAAGAAGATGATGCCAGTGAGAGTGCGGAAGCCCTCACTGAAGACAGATGATCCCAGTAAGAGTGCGGAAGCCCTCACTGAAGAAAAGTTTGTTGTCGCTGCAGTGCGCTCACAGCACACTGAAGCTAACGAGTCATCAGATGAGTTCATACTGGCTCGTGGAACGGTAGTCCGTTTTGTGCAAGACTCCATCGCCGAAGCGGTGGATAAGCAAAAGCAAAACGCTGACAAGGATGGAAGGGCAAACACTCTTTTATTTAATAAAGGTGACTTAGTCCTACTGTCTACGGTTAATCTACCAAAGCATGTAGTGACTAACTTGGGAAGCAGTAAACTACTACCCAAGTACATCGGCCCATTTCGTGTATTGCACCGCCTAGGCAATGCATACACGATCGAGTTACCACGTAAGATGCGAACGCATCCCACGTTTTACGTTGGTCGGCTTAAGCCGTACCATCAGTACGCTGCTTCTTCCGATGAAGAACGCCCTTGCGCTCAAGCATCTCGCAGAGAGCCTTGTGCTCCCGATGGTGGGCATCAACAAGGGTCTGAAGAGCAGTTATCTCATCCCGAGACCGATCAACAATCCCACGAGCTACCCTTAGCTCGTCACGAAGAGATGTCAGAGATCTCTCGTTCTCGAGCTGAGCAAAGGCAAACTCAGCTCGATGCTTCAAGGCAGTGTCCGCCATTTGGAGACGCCTATTCCGCTCATGCTCGAGATCGTCGCGTAACCCTTGCGTTACGCGATCAAAAAGCTCTCGGGAACACACCGATCCACATGATCGTGTGGAGAGCGTCTTTCCTCCTCCTCCACCTCCATTAGAGGACTCTCGCGGTGGCCAGCGCTATCTAGTAGAGCGGCTGTTGAACCACCGCGACGTGAACGGACGTCGGACGAGTTATCTCGTCCGGTGGCGCGGCTATCCCCCGTCCTGGGATTCTTGGGAGCCCCGCTCCCAACTGATGATCGACGTACTGGGTCTGGTTGAGCAGTACGACGCGGCACATCCTGTGCCGCAGAAGGACCGCCGGAGAAAGTCTTCCCGGCACGGTCGTAAAGGGATTTCAAGTTGTCAATCCCTTCGTACATCTCAATAGAGATACGTACGCGCCACCACGGGCTATTAGGGAGGTAAGCCTCCTTAGGTGCTCGTGCAGAGTTGTTCACACAACATGGGCACGAGTCTCCCCAAGAAAGGCAGGGTAATCCTTTCTCCCTTGACAGACGATGCAGCTTGTAGCGTGCACCTGTCGGGGTTCGCTTTTCAAACTTATCACGAGCTTTGATAAGTTTGTCGTTCCAAGCGTCACGACCTACATCCTCGAGGTTATGGATGTAGGCGTTCCACGCTTAAAAGCAGTGAAGGACCATCACGTTTATGATTCCCACTGTACCATCGATGTTTGAAGAAAGCATCGATGAAGAATTCATGTTCAGCGCGATAGTTTTTCGCACTGGGGTCAAGGTGATGGATCCTCGACGAATCGAACAACCGTGTTCGATAACGATCACTCGTCGTCGCCGACAAGTGATCCATGACGGATTTTGGAGGCATCCATGCCTTCTTTTCAGGAGCGAGACGCAACACATTGCAGTCCCGCTCTTCCTGCGACGTGCCGACAGAAGTACTGGCACCTCGCTGTGAAGTGGTGTTCATAGGAGAACCGACACCACTGTTAGCGCCCGAGTCTCGCGACTTCGAGCGCCTTCGCTTCGGCGATGGTTCATCTGATTCATCAGATGAACCAAAGATGCTGCGACGCAAAGCATCGTCCATGCCACGCTTGGCAGGCGGCTTGGATACAATCGCCGTCGATACGGATCCGTCTTCCGTATCAGGAGAGTACGAGACACCGAGCTCATACTCTGTGAAGACACGAGTGTCTTCATGACCAGCGCCTGCATCACCAAGTGACACAGGCTGAGTCGCTTCAGCAACCGATGAGACATCAGTTGCTGTGGTTTCTGCTTCGGCGTCCGCACAGAGACGTGCAGACGCGCTCTCGGCGGCCTTGCTCGCGCACCGCATGGGCTTGTTAACCATGCGATGAAATGCTGGGAAGTGGACTCGGACCAACAAGTGCAAACCCTGTCCCAACTGATTTGGGACGAGTATCCATTTAGTCAATCAGTCACTAAAGTGACTGATGGTTAAGGGGGGGTGATGTAACGGGGTGAATCGTTACATAACAATTTATAAGAAATTGTTAATAGAATATAACTATAAGAGTTGTATTCTCAGAATATTGTCATAAGGACAAATATTCTGTAGCACTTACGAGTAGTTCCTAATTGGTTGATATAGGCCATTATATCAACCAACGAAGACGCGCCACGACAGACGCACGCAATGAGTGGTGGGCAGATAGTTGATTTACACATTTGTATTTAGACATAGTTAGATGAAGATAAATAGTGATTTATTGCAGACATTAACTATTATAAATACAGTTCTACTTTTTACTTTAACCGAGTACTCGCTTCTTCTTACCGTCTTCCTCTGCACGTACGAGTGTACGTGAAGTTACGAGGCAACGCCTTATTCTGTCATCAGAATAAGTAGCTTGTACTGTCACCAGTACAAGCTTCAGGGTGCCCCGTTACACATACCGTTTAAACGCACCACGTGTTCCGCTTCACGTTGCAGTCGTTACGTTACCCTTCCTGTCGCCCGGGATACTTTCACATACTTCTGCGGGTGGACCGCAAAGCACTTTGTCGTCCTCAGATGCATGATCCTGCATCATCGTGGATGTAAGCCGACTCGGATCTGGACGATGCATCTGGCATCTGGATCGTAGCTAATGACAAAGCATCTGTACCGTTCTAGTTAAACATCAATATGCTTCTGCTGGACATCATGCGGCTCACCGCCATTCAATTATACTCCAGTAAAGATTCCACGCGTCCTCACCAAACATAAAAACACGATTCACATGCCACATCCCACGTGACGTTACTCGACCAGAAAGTAAGCTACACTACGACATTACCGGCCTACTGTTCTAGGTGCCGTTCCAATCCCTCAATTCCATAGCGCATACGTATTGCGCGCTGTCAACACTTGTATTCAGCATCCACATTCGATATGGACATGACAAAGTCGTTGTGAAGCTGAATACATAGAGTTCATGGCGTTGCGCAGACGATGACTTCCTGGATTCGAAGGTGAATGTCGTCACCTTTGCTCCCAAGCTGTGCTTAGGAGAGAGATTTATGTCACGCGGTCCTTCAGATCACCCTGGGGTGAACTGCAAGTATTCTGACTCAGTTTGAACTCCTGACAGGACCCGCCCGCCTCATTACACTATGGGGCTTTTCGGCCAGTAGGGCCTCCAGCCCACCCAACTATCACACGCATTGCGCGTGTTGGCAGGGCGGCCACTTCTGCGTGGTTGCTCGTCTACTAGCTGTGCTTAGGAGAGAGAGAGAGATTTATGCCGCGCGGTCCTTCAGATCACCCTGGGGTGAACTGCGAGTACTCTGACTTAGTTTGAACTCCTTACAGGATCCACACCCCTCATTACACTATGGGGCTTTTTCGGCTTGTAGGGCCTCCGGACGGCACCGGCCACCCATTGGTGGTGCTCGTCTACATTATTAGCCTATCTCCGGCGCCCTGTAATCGAACCCCCACCGGGTATCGATCCAGGTACCTCCCGGTCCCAGATCCAGTGCTGTGCTTAGGAGACAAACGCGCTATGCAGTCATTCCTCGGATAACTTATATCCTCATAACTCATATAACTCATACAAATTGCCTTCCACTACTCGTTCTTTGGTCGCTAGCTTACAATCTGTAACTAAAAAAACTATCGGATATTCATTAGTAATCCGAGGGACAGAAATTTATTAGAGAATACTCCTGAGCAAAGGAAATTAAATTCTTGTAAAAAACTGCAAATTGAGGGGTATTAAGTGTCTGAGTGGTGGTAGCCATACGAACGGGCATTTAAAGTACCATCCGCATTGACCGTGAAGGCAATATTAATCCGCACCCAAACAAATAGGGAATTAAAGTGGTATCAGACTTGAAAAATTCAAAGCTAAAAACTTATATAGGAATTAAATCAACTCTGACCTTCTATTACTTGAGATCCTCAATCTCTTTCTACGCCACTGTCTTTTCTCATTAGTGATATAAATAGGCCTAAATCATTTTTAGCATTGTACATCATCAGTCTAAATTATGATTTCTCGATCCTCAAAGATTGGTGTCGTCCATTTTGAAAACATCTTACGGCTCACAACCCGAAGTCCAGGCAACGCTGCATCCATAGCTTCCTCATTAGCAAACCACTCTTGCCGAAAATCATGGTGCTACGCAGCTGGTCCAGCATTAAGGCACCCAAATTTACAGGTCTCCCTCCATTTTGAATGTTGAGCGAATGTCTGGCAGTGGCAAAAAGTTCGTTATCCGTATAACATTCTAGATCAGTGCGCTTCTTGATTACCAGAGAGACGGCATTCTGGGTGTCTCGGCTCCAATGCCAGCACAATCTGGCTCATTTTTGCAGGTTCTCGGCCTTGTTTTAACAAATCTCGAGCCTTTGTGAACTGGTGACAGTCCTCGGGACATGTTTAAATGAGATTTAGAAGAGGAAACTGTTCATTTACTGTTTTTTCCTTGTCATTAAACTAGAAAATCGGAAAATCGGAAATTCACATAGCTCATAACTCGGCTAATCCATAAAATTTGTCTCCACCAAGCCTATGAGTTATCCGAGGAATGACTGTATACGCATCCTATGTGCTCGGTCGCATCCCGAGTGTTGCAGCAGACCTGATATGCTCCGTAAGCTAAGACTGGGTCGAAGCTGGACAGTGGTCCAAGTGTAACGGGGCACCCTGAAGCTTGTACTGGTGACAGTACAAGCTACTTATTCTGATAACAGAATAAGGCGGTGCCTCGTAACTTCACGTACACTCGTACGTGCAGAGGAAGACGGTAAGAAGAAGCGAGTACTTGGTTAGAGTAAAAAGTAGAACTGTATTTATAATAGTTAATGTCTGTTAATAAATCACTATTTATCTTCATCTAACTATGTCTAAATACAAATGTGTAAATCAGTTATCTGCTCACCACTCATTGCGTGCGTCTGTCGTGGCGCGTCTTCGTTGGTTGATATAATGGCCTATATCAACCAATTAGGAACTACTTGGAAGTGCTACAGAATATTGTCCTTATGACAATATTCTGAGAATACAACTCTTATAGTTATATTCTATTAACAATTTCTTATAAATTGTTATGTAACGATTCACCCCGTTACATCACCCCCCTTAACCATCAGTCACTTTAGTGACTGATTGACTAAATGGATACTCGTCCCAAATCATTTGGGACGGGGTTTGCACTTGTTGGTCCGCGTCCACTTTCCAACATCTCATCGCATGGTAAACAAGCCCATGCGATGCGCGAGCAAGGCCGCCGAGAGCGCGTCTGCACGTCTCTGTGCGGACGCCGAAGCAGAAACTACAGCAACTGATGTCCCATCGGTTGCTGAATCGACTCAGCCTGTATCACCTGGTGATGCAGGCGCTGGTCATGAAGACACTCGTGTCTTCACAGAGTACGAGCTCGGTGTCTCGTACTCTCCTGATACGGATGACGGATCCGTATCGACGGCAATTGAATCCAAGCCGCCTGCCAAGCGTGGCATGGACGATGCTTTGCGTCGCAGCATCTTTGGTTCATCTGATGAGTCAGATGAACCATCGCCGAAGCGAAGGCGCTCGAGGTCGCGAGACTCGGGCGCTAATAGTGGTGTCGTTTCTCCAATGGACACCACTTCACAGCGAGGTGCCAGTACTTCTGTCGGCACGTCGCAGGAAGAGCGGGACCGCAATGTGTTGCGTCTCGCTCCAGAAAAGAAGGCATGGATGCCTCCTAAATCTGTCATGGATCACTTGTCGGCGACGACGAGTGATCGTTATCGAACACGATTGTTCGATTCGTCAAGGATTCATCACCTTGACCCCAGCGCGAAAGACTATCGCGCTGAACATGAGTTCTTCATCGATGCTTTCTTCAGACATCGATGGTACAGTGGGAATCACAAACGTGATGGTCCCTCACTACTTCAGGCGTGGAACGCCTACATCCATAATCTCGAGGATGTAGGTCGTGACGCTTGGAACGACAAACTTATCAAAGCTCGTGATAAGTTTGAAAAGCGAACCCCGACAGGTGCACGCTATAAGCTGCATCGTCTGTCAAGGGAGAAAGGATTACCCTGCCTCTCTTGGGGAGACTCGTGCCCATGTTGTGTGAACAACTCTGCACGAGCACCTAAGGAGGCTTACCTCCTTACCAGCCCGTGGTGGCGCGTACGTGTCTCTACTGAGATGTACGAAGGGATTGACAACCTGAAATCCCTTTACGACCGTGCCGGGAAGACTTTCTCCGGCGGTCCTTCTGCGGCACAGGATGTGTCGCGTCGTACTGCTCGACCAGACCCAGTACGTCAACCATCAATTGGGAGCGGGGCTCCCAAGAATCCCAGGACGGGGGATAGCCGCGCCACCGGACGAGGTAACTCGTCCGACGTCCGTTCACGTCGCGGTGGTTCAACAGCTGCTCTACTAGATAGCGCTGGCCACCGCGAGAGTCCTCTAATGGAGGTGGAGGAGGAGGAAAGACGCTCTCCACACGATCATGTGGATCGGTGTGTTCCCGAGAGCTTCTTTGATCGCGTAACGCAAGGGTTACGCGACGATCTCGAGCATGAGCGGAATAGGCGTCTCCAGATGGTGGACACTGCCTCGAAGCATCGAGCTGAGTTTGCCTTTGCTCAGCTTGAGAACGAGAGATCTCTGACATCTCTTCGTGACGAGCTAAGGGCAGCTCGTGGGATTGTTTATCGGTCTCGGGCTGAGATAACTGCTCTTCAGACCCTTGTTGATGCCCACCATCGGGAGCACAAGGCTCTCTGCGAGATGCTTGAGCGCAAGGGCGTTCTTCATCGGAAGAAGCAGCGTACTGATGGTACGGCTTAAGCCGACCAACGTAAAACGTGGGATGCGTTCGCATCTTACGTGGTAACTCGATCGTGTATGCATTGCCTAGGCGGTGCAATACACGAAATGGGCCAATGTACTTGGGTAGTAGTTTACTGCTACCCAAGTTAGTCACTACATGTTTTGGTAGATTAACCGTAGACAGTAGGACTAAGTCACCTTTATTAAATAAAAGAGTGTTTGCCCTTCCATTCTTGTCAGCGTTTTGCTTTTGCTTATCCACCGCTTCGGCGATGGAGTCTTGCACAAAACGGACTACCGTTTCACGAGCCAGTATGAACTCATCTGATGACTCGTTAGCTTCAGTGTGCTGTGAGCGCACTGCAGCGACAACAACCTTTTCTTCAGTGAGGGCTTCCGCACTCTCACTGGGATCATTGTCTTCAGTGAGGGCTTCCGCACTCTCACTGGCATCATCTTCTTCGATATCGATGTTATCGATATCGGCATCAAACGCAATGACTTCTTCGTCAGAGCGTGATGAGCGTGAACCAAATCGGTTTTTGCTCGCGCGAGTCCCTCCCCCTTAAACCAGAGTTACACTCTAGTAAGGTGGGTACACGCGGATGGCGCAAGCCATTCACGTAAAACGGTGTATGTGTCGTGGACGCATGCACCGAGTTGTTGATGGCAAACTCTACCATCGGCAAAAACTCACTCCAGCTCTTAAAGGAGTGTACGTATCCTCGAATTATCTCTTCAAGGACACGATTGGCACGTTCCGTCTGACCATCTGACTCTGGATGATCAGATGTCGACATCTTCAAGCGCGTTCCGAGTGATTTGAACACGGAACGCCAGAAATCAGCAGTGAATCGTGGATCTCTGTCTGATACGAGTTCACGGGGCAACCCATGAAGTCGGAAGATGGTGTCAATAAAGACACAAGCACAGCCACTTGCCGTGATTGTCTCTGGTACAGCCACAAGGTGTACCATTTTGCTGAGTCTGTCAACAAATACGAGAATACCCGTATTCCCGCGTGCGTCTTTGGGTAACCCGAAGACGAAATCCATTGAGATGGATTCCCAGCACTCAGCCGGAACCGGTAGAGGCTGTAAAGGTGCACGCAGTGAAGGACTTGACTTCACTCGTTGGCAGACTTCGCATGCGCGAACATACTTTCGCACAAACTGATACTGGCGGGGCCAGTAAAAGTCTCGACTTACCGTGAGATATGTTTTCTCTTGGCCACGATGTCCTCCTATAGGAGCATCGTGATACTCGAACATGATCCGCAAACGCAGATCAATATCATCTGGAATGACAACACGTGGTGTGTCACCAGAAACGGCTGTATAGTACAGTAAACCGTTACGAGTAGTGTATCGATCTGATGCAGATCGATACGCAGACGACAATCGTTTCAACGATTCTCGAGATGGTTGGGAGAGATGTGACAACAACTTCACTATCTCACCATCTTGGGCGTATGCCCGCCTCACATCATCATACAACGTTGTAGATGGAACTGAGGACGTCATAACCGCAACAGTGACTGTCTCACTGTTGGGTTTCGCGACTGTTTCAAAGTCGGGACGACGTGAGAGTGCATCAGCGACGATATTAAGTCGTCCTGGTTTGTACTCGACCGTAAAGTTGTATTCTGCAAAGAATGACAACCACCGCGCCATTCGTTGTGAAAGGTGCGGGCTGTTCACTGCCGTGCGTAAGGACGCATGGTCAGTGTAAACAACGAAGGGTCTATCTCCTAATAGATAGACTCTGAACTTCGCGAGTGCATACTTCATGGCAAGGAGTTCCTTGTCATGCACTGGATAGTTCCGCTCAGCTGGTTGCAGCTGACGCGACTGATAGCAGACGACGCGTTCAACGCCTTCAAGGTCGTACTGCATTAATGCACAGCCGATTGCGAAATCGCTGGCATCACAGACCACATGAAATGGCCTGTCCTGATCGGCTATTGCTAGGACTGGGGATTGTATCAAGCTCTGCTTGATACCCTCAAAGGAGCGTTGACATTCAGCGTTCCATAACCACCTCTCGTTCTTTTTCAACAAACGAGAGAGGTGTACAGTCATCTCGGCGTAATTGCGTGAATACTTATGCAAATACGCCGCTAGCCCAAGGAATTTTCGAAGACCTTTGACATCGACCGGCACGGGCCAGTCGGTGATCGCCTTAATCTTTTCGGGATCAGGACGTACACCGTTCTTACCAACGATGCACCCAAGAAGTGGTATTTCGCTTGCTGCAAATATACACTTCTTGAGGTTTGCATACAATTGATGCTTTCGCATGATTGTAAGAACTTGTCGGACGTGGTACTTGTGAACCTCAACGTCCGACTTTCCATCCATAGCTCGACTATGGATGAATACGTCATCGAAATAACTCGGCGCGAATTCTCGTACTGGCCTCAACAGATGTGATACACACCTGTTGAACGTGGCAGGGGCATTACTGAGCCCTTGTGGCATTACTAGCCATTCCCAGAGCATGCCGCTAGGCGTGCTAACTGCGGTATAGGGTATATCCTGTTCCCGCATTAGGATTTGATAGAAGCCATCCATCAAATCCATGGACGAAAAGATGGTACTCTTTGACATACCATCAATGATTACGTCCTTCCTCGGTATCGGCGTCTGAGCCGGTACCGTTGCAGCGTTCAATTTGTTAAACGCGTGCACTATCCGCCACCCTCCTGTTGCTTTTCGCACACAGAAGGTCGGAGAGCTATGTGGGGAAGTTGATTCCCTCACATGGCCCGCTGCTAAACGATCGGCAAAGAACTTGTCGATCGCAAGTACTTGTTCACTAGGCAGTGGCCACTGCTTCATGACACAGTACTTCGAGCCTGGTTTAAGCTCGACTTCGTGTCGAATACCTTTATCCTTCGGTAATTCGCACGGAACAGTTTCAGGGAATACATCCTTGAATTCAACCAAATCTTCATAGAGAGGATTTTTCTTGAGCGATTCCCATGATTGGGACTCATATCGCTCAATTCGTGTCTTTTCATCTAGGACACTCTCGTCCATAGATGAACTACTGAGAACTCTCTCGTTCTCAGTAAACGCTGTTGCTGACCTTATGTCGGTTACATACTCGTCTTCAGCGACGAGTATGCAGATCTGCTTGACTTTGCCACTACGCAGATCACGCAAGAATCTTTTATGTTCGAGCGTTGGCAACTGAGTGATCTCCGAAGTTAACTTCGGAGGCGCAATCAGATCAAGTGTATAAGCGCCTACACATGATCCGTTATTGACTATGACATTCAATGTCTCTGTCATTTCCTGGGGACTTATTCCCTCAGGCTTCGAAGGACTTATTCCTTCGTCTTCCCGGGGACTTATTCCCGCGGGTTTCGGGGAACTTATTTCCGCCGTATTTGTAATCTTGGGACTTATTCCCTTTACTTCCTCTAGCTGGGGTTGCGCAACCACAGCGAGATCCTCTACGAAAGACTCTCCAGTCGATCTAGGATTATCGTTTCGCTTAACCTGAGCGATCGATTGTTTCTCTTCTAGATGTTCCCCTCTAGGGATACATCTTTGTCCCAGTCCACCCGACTTATTCGAGTGGTGGACCTTCGGCGCAGCCTGTGTTTCCTCACAGCCGCCGGAACTTTGCTCCGAAGTGTAACCGTTTGGTACACTAAGGTTTTGTGCAGTCGTACTAACGACCGTACCACAAGTGAGGCCATCGCACTCACTCGTAGTACATCCACACGCTTGTGGACGCTCCAAAACGTTCATCAGATGGCCATCTGATGAACAAGCGGCAGGCATCGTTACTGTCCGATGTTGCCAGTTTACCCGTGGTTCGTACCTTCTGAGCCACGGTATTCCAAGGATGACATCAAATTTGTCATCCAAATCCAATACGATAAAGTCATCGTCGTATTGGGTATCTTCTAGCGTATAGTGAATCTTCACTATACGCTTCATGACGGTTACGGATGCGCCTGTCGCAAGACGTACCGTCATCCTCGTAGGAGGTGTGTCACATTCACTGAATTTAAAGTGACCATCTTCTAGCGATTGGCGTCGCACAAAAATTGTTGGACGCCCCACAATCGACTAGAGCTCGAAGGGACAACTTATTCGTCACTTCGAGTTTCAAGGTAATGAGTGAGATCTCATTACCTAGAGCAGCAACGCACAATGTCTGTGTGTTGGGAGCAACCTTCATCAAGAGGCCTACAAATTCTCTTGACGTTGCTGGATCAGTAGGGTGCTCCGCACCTACTGATCCTGTCCGTTTTTTGACGGTCCATCCCGTTGTTGCGTCTTTGCACCAACTGCGGACCCTCGTCCCTGCCCCTTTCTCATGGGTGGACGGTCACTACGCCCAGTGTCGCGAGACACTGGACGAGGGGCACTACACTCGTAAGCGTAGTGTCCTGTCTTTTGACATCTGTTGCATCTCTGCAACTTCTTGTAGCCTGTAGAGCGAGCCTTCTCGCTCTCTACATAACAGAGTTCCATCGGCTCTGGACCTCCGTTGTCATATCGTCTCGGTTGACGATATGATGTCGAGCTGGCGCGAGCCTGTCTCAGACTGAAGTCTTCCTGCTCCGCAATTGAAATGGCTTGTTCTAGTGAATCTAGTTCAAGCCGGAACAGGTGAGTCTTGACGGGACCATCCGCAAGACCCTGCATGAACAACGAAACCAACGTGTGTTCATCCACCGGATTGGAACTTATACAACTCGTGAGATGTCGTATATGTTGAGCGTAAGCGTGCACATCACGCTTACCCTGCTTGAGCTTCAAGAGTTCGGTTCGAGCTCTGAACTCAGCTCTAGGCGGTTCAAACGTTTGTCTGAGCCGCGACTTGAAGACTTCCAACGACCCAAACGCATATGGGTCGTGCAGCTTGAGCCCCAGTGCCCAAGTCTTGGCACGTCCTGCCAGATTTGACTGGGCAAATGCAACTTGCATATCCCCGTCGTCGATGCGACGCGCCCTTATGGCGTCATCCAATTCGACGAACCATCTCAAGAGGGAGTCTTCTTCGACCCCCTATACTTTGAGATGTCAATCTTCAAAGTCTCGGGCCGACGCGAGTGCATCGACCCGCCAGCAGCAGCCTGCTGCTGTCTCAACAGTTCAAACTGTTGAGCACCTTGTTCTCTCAACAACTCTGCTTGTTGAGAACCTTGTTGGTGAAGCAAGGCTACTTTCTCGCGTTCTGCGTCAAGTTCATTTTGAATGAACTTGGCGATAGTAGCATGTTGGGCATCTCTATTGAGAGCCTCTAGCATGACGCTAACAGCATGGATGCCCATGGTCGAACCCATTCGTTCAACCGCATCCCATTCGACATCGCTCAAATGGGAGTAGCCGTCACGCGTAGCGTGAAAGCTTTGGTCATCTTCATCATCCAACATATTCATGTTGGATGTGAACGCGGTCCTTGGACGGACTACGAAGTGCTACCAGGTGTAACGGGGCACCCTGAAGCTTGTACTGGTGACAGTACAAGCTACTTATTCTGATAACAGAATAAGGCGGTGCCTCGTAACTTCACGTACACTCGTACGTGCAGAGGAAGACGGTAAGAAGAAGCGAGTACTTGGTTAGAGTAAAAGTAGAACTGTATTTATAATAGTTAATGTCTGCAATAAATCACTATTTATCTTCATCTAACTATGTCTAAATACAAATGTGTAAATCAGTTATCTGCTCACCACTCATTGCGTGCGTCTGTCGTGGCGCGTCTTCGTTGGTTGATATAATGGCCTATATCAACCAATTAGGAACTACTTGGAAGTGCTACAGAATATTGTCCTTATGACAATATTCTGAGAATATAACTCTTATAGTTATATTCTATTAACAATTTCTTATAAATTGTTATGTAACGATTCATCCCGTTACACCAAGAGAACGGAAATGGATCACGCTTCTGAATCACATCTACGACGCTCCGTGCCATGGCACGGTATCTGTTTATATCCGCCGTTCATGTTTCTGTCCTCGACCTTTGGCAGAAGCTAAACTCAATGAGGTGCCAATTCCACGAAATGAATCAGAATCCTGGACGTAAACTGTAACGGGGCACCCTGAAGCTTGTACTGGTGACAGTACAAGCTACTTATTCTGATAACAGAATAAGGCGGTGCCTCGTAACTTCACGTACACTCGTACGTGCAGAGGAAGACGGTAAGAAGAAGCGAGTACTTGGTTAGAGTAAAAAGTAGAACTGTATTTATAATAGTTAATGTCTGCAATAAATCACTATTTATCTTCATCTAACTATGTCTAAATACAAATGTGTAAATCAGTTATCTGCTCACCACTCATTGCGTGCGTCTGTCGTGGCGCGTCTTCGTTGGTTGATATAATGGCCTATATCAACCAATTAGGAACTACTTGGAAGTGCTACAGAATATTGTCCTTATGACAATATTCTGAGAATACAACTCTTATAGTTATATTCTATTAACAATTTCTTATAAATTGTTATGTAACGATTCACCCCGTTACATCACCCCCCTTAACCATCAGTCACTTTAGTGACTGATTGACTAAATGGATACTCGTCCCAAATCATTTGGGACGGGGTTTGCACTTGTTGGTCCGCGTCCACTTTCCAACATCTCATCGCATGGTAAACAAGCCCATACGATGCGCGAGCAAGGCCGCCGAGAGCGCGTCTGCAC